TGGCAAATGTAATTTGACATGGACGAAAAAAGCAGTGCTGCCAAATTTTTTTCAAACATTGTAGCCAGTTCGCCAGAATACCAAATTCAATTTCGGGCGTTAAAGAAAAGTAACAAAATATACTTTACCGGTAACAGTGAGAATATGCCTGTTAATTTCAGTTTAACTGAAATGTGTACATCTGGCAAAAGAAGAAAATACTAGACGAACACTTAGAATCAAAAGACATACTGCCAAAATGGTTGTTAACTTCTTATTGCATGAAATTGCTGTACTGAAAGACAATAACTACAAGATAGTAGTTTGTTCCTAAGATATAAGCAATTTATACAATACAATTACGTAACACATAAAAACCTAACGACATACCCTTAGCATAGAATGGAACAAATTTTTTAGCTTTCAGGAAATTAAAGCTGGCGAAAAAACTGGTGGAATTTAATGAAGGCCTGCCACAAGGGAGCTGCCTATCATATCTTCTTTTTCATATTTACACAAAAGCGTTACACAAAATAAACGACCAACATACAAAAACCTGCCAATTTGCTGATGACTTCATTATTTACTCACATGGACAAAATATTGAGATAGCAACCCAAAGAGTTCAAGAAACAGGAAACCTTTTGAACCAAGCCTGCCAAGAACTAAAATTAAGCTTCACTATAGCAAAAACTAAAATAATGTAAGTTAAAGAAGATAGAAAAAAATAATCCACGTTTCTGTAAACAACACTAGTGTAGCACAAGCCAACTAAAACAACTCCAAGCTATCAAAGCAGGACTAAGGCCTAACGCAGCAATGATATTCTACAAAGCATTTGTTAGATCCAAGATTGAATACTGCCGAACATCCAATGTATACTGCAAGACAGTTAATAAAAAAAAAAGCTTTTCATAACAGCTTCTCAAGAACGGAGTTAGGAGTAACACCATCTATCCCAATCCCATTAATAAAATTTTAGCAAACGAGCTACCACCCCTAAATCGAGCAAACTAACTGACAGCTAAAGAATTAATTAAGATCCTATCAACAAATAATTCTTCAAACTATTCAATTATAAGCGACCCAAATATCAACTCACTAAAGTTACAGCTCGACATATAAACAATATAAAGAAATTTTGGACAATCTAGGAGTAATAGAACAAAATTCATCGCTCTTGAACATAATAACCAATACAAAAACACTCTCATCTAACAAAAACAAACCCCCTAGAAACAATATATTGATGATTTAAAACAAATATTTTGACGACTACAAAAGGAGTAGCTTTAAGCTTTTATTCACAGACGCGCCAGTTCGGGACAAGAACCTTGGATGCGCAATATATCTGACGACCTAACCAAGGAAGAATATTCCTACAAAATTAATTTAAAACATCCTCCAGCTTTGGTGAAATGCAGGCTATCAAACAAGCCATACATTAGCCATAAAAAACAATACACAAAGATTCACAGATAGTTTAATTTCATGTCAACTTTTAGACAAAGTACACACGAAAAACAAATGCATCACAGAGATATACAAACTAACTATAGAAAACGAGATAACAACACAAATAGTTTGGATACCAAACCATATAGGTAGAAAAGGAAACGAACCAGCACACACAAGAGCTAAAAATGTCACAGAAAGCACCTAGCATGTCTAGTGTTGTGAGATATAGAATTGACTACGAACGAAGCCCTCAGAATAATTATAACTATAATACGCCACGAATGGTACAATAACTACATACATTTTAAAAAGAATACCTCTTTAAAATAAAAGCTATCCACTCTAACAGATGTAGCTGTGGGCATTTGAGCAATTCTTAAATGTGAAAATTTTAAAAGCATAAGAAACAAGTCCGGCGCGATCAAAAACGCAAATTCCTCTTTAAAAGTTCTACACAATATGAACAAAAACAAAATCTCACAGCTTCTTCAATTTATGGAAGAAGCACACTTTACTTAACAAAAAATATATTAACCATTTTAAAACCTAAGTTACATAAAATACAAAAATGGTCCTTTCACCTTCTATAATATACCCTCCACCTAACCCCTCACTTTTCGAGGCAAAAGTGGTATACACACATGCAAGCTTTCAAATCGTACTTAACGCTTCGTAAAAGATGTCAAAACACACTGTCGAACGATTTCATTATTGAAGACAACATCACAATAACCAGGAACTAAACAAAGAGGAGATATGCGACTTTTCACAAAAATTCGCTTCAGCAATACTTAATAAAGAGGAAATCACCACGAAAAAATTTCCAACACATCCAGTAGACAATAGTTTGCGATCGAAAATAACACTAAAAAATACAAACCGTTGCAGAAGTAAACATATCCAGTAGATTTCGCTCTACACTCGTGAAAACAAACCAACCAAGAAAAAAAAAAGCTGGCTTATTTGAGCAAATCGCTCCGCCAAAAAATAACCAAAACTAAAAAAAAAAAGTATTTTGACCGAGCTTAAAGAAATTTTATGTGCATATTCAGTAGGACTGAGAATAAAACAAAATCTTTTTTCACACCGAAAAAGGGACTTGGGACTGATCTGTACGAAAAATTTGAATTCATAGTTAGTTTGGCAGGAACATCACTTTTGTTTCCAAGAAAAGTTACTAGGATCGATTAATTAAAAAAAATCGTTTGTATGGTTTGGATTAATATATAAAAAAAACTTTCGGAAGTGAACCTCTGGTCACCAAAAAGATATTTGATTGGCTTGGGCCATTCCGTAACCCGATAGATGCCACCAAGCCCTTGCCTATACGGCATCCGTTTCCTTGCGCTTACATGCGTAAAAGCTGGGCTATGGAATTACCTCCGCTATGACATTTGTCATTTCAATGAATTAAGCAGAATAGATATATTGTATCCAAGTGGGAAAAAAATAACTCTCCAAACAAGACATGTGGCTAATTTTTAATAAGTATAGTTTTTCCTGAGTTGTTAACGGCTAAGCCGAAATAAAATTCCACTTCATTAAGAGACTCTCGGAGACCGATTCATGCGAGATAATCTTAGTCACGATTCCATTTACTTGAAATTTAATTTTTTCGAAGCTTGTCGTTTAGATTAACATGCAGAAACTGGCTCCTAATAATCTTATTTACGGATCAATTTGCTTGTTTTTTTCATTTCCGTTCGTATGAGCTGCTTGAACTTTTCTCATCTTAAACCGCTTAATTTATTTACCTAGAGTTTATTATAAGATGCTACCCAACGGCCGATAAATTTTATGAAGAGCTTTTTATTTCATGTCAGAAATACACTTGGAGAGGGGCGCACAAAATTAGCAAAATTAACTTAACTCTTTTCATTTAAATATAAGGTTGCCATATATCTCCCTTCCGCTTTTTTGCTCTTCATTCAATGCTTTATAAAACGTGTTACAGTGATCGGATTTAGTTAAAATATGCGCCGTTTTGTTCGATGATCTGTTTCCATCTAGACGGCAACTTCATAATACCTTCCTCGTAGAAGCTCTCCTCCTTATTTGCGAAGAGTTCAACTTCACACCACCAAGGGCATTCGCCATGGACAGGAACAGGTCGTAATCACTTGGCGCTACGTCCGGCCTATATGGTGGATACGATAAAACCTCCCATCCAAGCTCCCGTAGCTTCTGACGAGTCATCAACGAAGTGTGTGGTCTGGCGTTGTCCTTGTGGAACACTACACCCTTCCTGTTGTCCAAGTCTGGACGCTTCTGGTCGATCGCCTGCTTCAAGCGGTCCAGTTGTTCGCAGTAGATGGTAGAATTAAGCGGCTGGCCATATGGGAGCAGCTCATAGTGGATGATTCCCTTCCAATCCCACCAAACACACAGCAAAACCTTCCTGGCCGTCAATCCCGGCTTGGCCACTGTTTGGGACGATTCACCGGCCTTCGACCACGACCGTTTTCGCTTGATATTGTCGTATGTGATCCATTTTTCGTCGCCAGTCACCATCCGCTTCAAGAATGGGTCGAGTTCGTTCCGTTTCAGCAGCATATCGCAGGCGTTGATTCGGTCCAGAAGGTTTTTTTGCGTCAAATTATGCGGCACCCAAACATCAAACTTTTTTTTGTATCCAGCCTTCTGCAGATGGTTCAAAATGGTTTGGTGACTAACTCCCATCTCCTGGGCGATGTCACGAGATGCCATATGCCGGTCTAACTCGATGTATTCCATGATTTGATCGGTATTTGTCGTCACAGGTCTTCCGCCGGCTGGCTTATCCATGGTGTCGTTTTCACCGGCTCTGAATCGTCGAAACCATTCCTCCGCGGTTCGAAGTGATAGAGTACCATCCCCCAAAACACCATTAATCTCACGGAACGTTTCTCTAGCGGATTTGCCTTTAACGAAGGAAAACTTTAAAATAGCGCGAATTTCGGCGTTAGTGAACTCCATGTTTACACGTCTATAACTGTTGAACGCAAACTAGTCAATGCATAGCGTTGTTTTGTAGGTTATTTCAAGACCTTTCAAATTATGTATAGTGTTGCCAGATACGAGCTCTGTAGCGCTTTGTACATAGCCGCGAAATTCAAAAGACAAAAAAGCGGAAGGGAGATATTTGACAACCTAATATTTCATTTTCTACACGCAGGTAGGGCCAGAACTCAAGCCGAGGGCTTTTTGCAGTAAAACGCACAGTAAACCTCTCGACTATTGTGATAATTATCGTTTTTTTTTTTATAATTCATGGAAATTTCGCCAATATTTCACAATATTCATCAACATTATTTTTTTAAGACAATTCTCAAACCATTTTGTAACAAGAAATAAAAAATAAAACTGACAGAACAGGACGAGCCGGCGTAAGTTATTTAAGTAATGTACGGATTACCGAATCAAACTTTTTGATTTTTCTCCACAAGAATAATGCCAATATAAAAGAACTTTTAAAATAAATATTCTAATGTTCACATAAGGACCAATTTGCACATCTCTGGCCGCACCTTTAATCACAAAATTAATAGAAAAATGTTACCTTTTCTTGGGAAACTGGTACCTACTTTGTATATTATTTCCACAATTGCTCAACAGTTGACACAAAAACTTTTGAAAATATTGTTGTCGCTGAGCAAGTTGTTCTTGTGTAATATTACCGGTTGCTGAAGTTACAGTTGATTGATTTGTATATTGACCAATTTGAAATGACTGTTGTGGGTGAGTTTGTTGCAAAGTCGCTTGTTGAACCGGCTGAGTTTGGTTGATTCCAGTTGCGAATGTTGACTGTAAATTTGTAGCAGGTTTTGAGCCACGAACTTGTGACAGAGAATTTTCTGCTCCCAAATTTAGAAACCCATGCTGCGAAGGCGGCGGTTGCACATACAGCACCTGGGGTTGAGTTTCTCCAGCTATAAAATATAGATTTGTTTTTAAATTTTCTTCAATAAATAGTAATTCCAATATATCAAATTGAAAGTAATTAATAAGAAAAAAAATTAACAAAGAAGAGGAAAGTTTAAAAGAGTAAATACAAAATTTTACCACTTATGTGTAAACATTTTCTTCAATACGACGTTATATGCATATACAGTGGCTCACAGCTATAGCGATGCAGCTTTGTAAGAGATAGTTTAATAAGTTTTATTTAAAAATCATACAAAAAAACATGAATGCCAGTTAATACCGACAGATATAAACATTTTATTTGTTCTTTAAAATATATTTATCTATATACATTTTATCTAATTAACGACAAAAACCAACTTCTCTTCTAAATTGTATCTCACAGCGAGAATTATGTCGGAACAAAAAAATAATACAATTAATTTTTTTAAGGAACATAACTAAGACTGTATGTTCATTAATATTTACTAAGGTACTCCTTGGATGGACGTGGATTTGACCGAGTTCTTCGTGAAGTCATGAGCAATATTGTTCCATTCTGTTTGTAGTGTTTTATTTGAAGTTCCACAACTGGCCACAGATTGATTTTCAATCACATGCAAATCTGGAGACTGCGCTGGGGTTTGTACTATGTGTGAACAGTTCCAAATAAGCCAACTTTGATAGTACCGAAACTTGTCACGAATATTTAGTTTTGAGGCACTTTGCAACAATCTTTTTTTTAAATGTCCAAATACACAGAATTATAGTACCATTGATGAAATCCGAATTTCCAACTCCAGAATACAACATGCAACCCATGCTCTCCAACATGTTTCACAGTGCTGCGTAAATTTTGCGGTTATAATGCAGCGTTTGGTTTTCTCCATACATAGCTCTTTCTATCTGTTTTAAACAAGTTGAATTTACTTTCGTCCGCAAAATTTACGGTGTCCCAGAAACTTTAATCTTTATATAAATGGTCCTTTGCACGCTACAGTCTTGCACTTTGCTCTGACATATGGTTTGTTTTGAGCTGTGCGGCCATTGAAATCAACTTCTCTAAGAATTCTTCGTATGGTTTCTAGGTAACAGCTTTTTCCAAGATATTTTAGCACTTCTTTACCTAAAGCTGGAGCACATAAGTGGTTTTTCGCGTATTTTCCGTACAATCCGTTTGGTATCACTTCCGTTAAAGAATTTATTATGAGCCTTTTTAGTTTTATTTAAAACACGACTTTTATGAACATCGCGTTCAATGATATGCTGAAGAGTTCCTTGGCTCAATTTCACCATTTTCGCGATTTTAAGCTAACTTTTGCACTCTTTAATGTTGTTAATTCGCACACTTCAATACTGGTTTGGGGACCCATTTTGATCTACACTCAGCCACTGTAAATACTATAATGTCAAAGTTATCTCATACTACACCAAGTTTGCTCGCGATCATACCGGTATTTATTTTGTATTCGAAAATCGTCGACAAGACGCCTCCACTAACGGTAGATCTTTGTGCACCATTTTCGCTGTGAGGTACAATTTAATACTGAAGTTTGCTTTTGTTGTAAATTACATAAAGTAAACATATAATACACATTTTTTGAGCCATCAATGACATGTGTACATCAGTGGCTATTACCTGGCATTGTTTTGGATATTTATTTAAATTTTTGAAAAAACTTATCACACTTATTCTTAGATAGCTGCATCACTTTGGCTGTGGGTCACTGTAAATATGTTATATAATTCGCGACTTTTAACCGCAGAAGCGATTTTCAGCCACGCTTCTCTTTCAGTTTATGGTATGCGACTTAAAATTTTCCCAAAAATTGAGGGACCTTAGACGGCCGATTGGGGCTGACAGTCTTGCCGAGAATATACCGCAAATAAAAATCGAAGTTTTGGATGTATTGTACTAACAACCGAAAACTGGTCGTCCGAATGATAGTAGCCACAGCTAACTAGTAGGCAATAGAGGCCGCACTATAAGTACGACTATACTCTCATTTTAAAAAAGAGCAATATATCAATATTGTATTGATTTAAGTAACAGAACCAATTTCCCAATAAAGTTGAGAGCCAAACCAAACAGAAATTGTACAGAAATTACCATTTTGGATAAATGTTGAGCATGTTGTGATAATAATTTCTATATATAAATACTAGTAGACCCAGCCGCGCGTTGCTGTGGGTGAGTGATTTAAGAAAAATTCGGAAGACAACAAGACAACACAAATTAACATTACGTTTTTATTACATTTATTTAATGAATACTTTAAATATTTTTATTTGATATTTCAGATGATCCATTTTTCAATCGAAGATTGTGTGGTGGCATTCCTAATATGTCTAAAGAATTTAAAAATTCATTAGGAAATTCTCTGCATCGACCTCTTATACAGTAGCATCGATAGACTTACAGGCCTATTCTGTCGTGGTAACAAGATTTACCTAGATATTAAAATTTACCATTCAGTAAATTGTGTTGCCATTTCGTATTCTGAGCTCACTGTTATCCTGTAAATTTTGTTACCAGCGAAATAAGAGGTAATAAAAATATCTGCTGATTGATATAGTGTTGTAAGTTTGAGAAAAAATAAAAAACCAAAATGGGTAGGCATATTTTAGGCCTGGAATTCATTGCGGATGAAGAAAAAAGTGCAAAAAGGCGTATTTTAAGAAGTTTTCGAGACAAAAAAATAGCCCTCTTAATTTGAAAGATAATGTTTTCATTCAGCTTTTTTGTTGTCCCGGCATATTTTCCATAATTAGGTTCAAATATATATGATTTAATAAACAAATTAATACAACTTTTTAATTTTTTTGTGCACTGTCTTCCATTTCGATGTGAATATTTTTGTTTTTACTTTATCAACTGGCAAATGTAATTTGACATGGACGAAAAAAGCAGTGATGCCAAATTTTTTTCAAACATGGTAGCCAGTTCGCCAGAATACTAAATTCAATTTCGGATGTCAAAGAAAAGTAACAAAATTTACTTTACCGGTAACAGTGAGAATAGGCCTGTTAAATGAAATTAAATCTACTGGTAACAATTGTTGTATCTGGTAGTTAATCTCATCAACATCAATATTTTCTGCCAGAATTGCACGATTACTAAGCCAGTCATGATTTGAATAGTTATTTATTATGTCTTGAAAAAGACTTTCAGTCAGTTCATTTTTAGTTTGAACGACAGTTTAGAAATTATCTGGCAGTCTGATATGTTGAGAATCTTGATGAAATTCTGTTTGACCGTTTCCAATTTCCTGTATTTTCTTAAAAAACTCTTGTGCTGTTGGATCATTTGGGAGTTGAACTCGCATATTTTTGATCAGTCTAGTGTTTCAACATTTCTCCATAAAATTGATTGTTTTAGACTTGCAATAATTTCGTCTGCAAAAGTAGAGCGAGGAATGACTGGCAACGTTTGCCGGAAATTACCAGATAGTGGTAAAATAGTACCACCGAAATGGCTGTCACTATTGTTTAAGTCCTGCATATTCCTATTTAATGCTTTAGGCGAATGCTTTTGGGCCATAGTACACTCATCCCAAATTATGATCGAAGTCTTTCGTAACACTCTTGCCATTCCGCTTCTTTTTTTTTTGATATTACACGCTGCATTTTGATTGTTATAAATATCTAATAGTAGCTTGAGACTATTATATATTTGTGTTTTTGCGTTTTGATGTTTTTCCAACAAATGGAAGGACTTACAGTTTATACTAATCCGCCCCCAAACGGCTGATGGTTTTTAAGAGGAGCCCTAATTTCATGTTGTTTGTTTGAATCGTTTAATCACGACATGCATAGTCGAGCGGGGTCTGCTCACAATTTCTGCGATTTTCCGAATAGTTTTTCCTATTTCAAAATGACTAATAATTAACTTTCTTACTTCAATTGAAGTTTGACCACGCTGTCTACCCATGTTCGAACTTTTTTCTTTTTTTTCCAAAACTACAAAAAAAGTACTGAAATTTTATTTTAAGCTATTACGTTTGATTATATACACATGTATTTTTAAACGAAAACAAACCAATTGTGGTATTCCCCTTTTTAAAATGCCAAGCAACTGTAATATTACCAGATGTCCGATTTCTTTTTTGGCGAAATTTCTAGCATGCCACATGTTAATTTTTTGAAAACATAAAAAACAGAAATGCTTCACATCAATTGGTTAAAAAAAATCTAGCTATAAGTTGCATGTTAATAAGAGTGGGATCTATGTCCGAGTTCTTTATTGAGCCACTGTAGATATATTACTTATGCCCTAATTTTTTTTAAACTGTTCTTGAATAAGATATAAATAAAACTTACATTGACGCAACGCTTTTTGAAATTTTTCATATTCAACATAGTGTTTAAGCCGTAATTCGTCCTCTTCAATCAGCTGACGTTGCCGCAGTAATAAAAGCCGCTGATGTTGGTTACTTCTTAATCGCATATTGCACAGTTGATTCACCAATGAATCTAGGTTGTGTTTGATATCCTACAGTTAAATACCAGACAAATTCATGCCGACCCGATATAAAGAAATGACCTAACAGTTCTTACAGATTGAATTACAGTAGGTAATAATTGTGGATGAGTGGCAGCAAGTGAAACCGGTTCCTCGTTTGAGACGGGCATCATTACAGAATGATCTGAAACTTCAAGTTTGAAATATTTGTATTCAAATTATTAATAATAAATAGATCGTTGTAATCAGAAATAAATAAATTTATAAATTTATGTAAAATCTAACACATACTTTCACCACCAGAATATGGAGGCTGCGTTTGCTGGGTTACAATATGAGGCTGTGTAGTTTGCTGAATCGAATGCTGAGAATGTTGATGCTGCTGATTTTGGCTTTGAGTTTGACTTTGCATCTGACTTAGTTGCTGATTTTGAGCATATGGTTGGCTTATAAACGGTTGCTGATTTGGACTGTTCTGCACTTGCTGCTGTTGTTGAGATTGCTGATGAATTTGTTGTTGATTATTATTATGTTGGATTTGCACTTGCTTATTCTTTGGTTGCTGGATTGGTACTTGTGATTGACTTTGGGACTGCTGATTTTGACCTGGTGAGCTCGCGTCAGGAATATGTATAGTGCTCTTTTGATTGGGTAATAACTGTGGTCTCTGAGCTAAATGGACCTGTGATGGAGCCTGCTGTTGTACATGTTGGCCAACTGAAGACATCTGTTGTTGAATTAAATGGCGTTGTAGTATGTTCTGCTGTATTGAACTGAAGTTTGATTGAAGAAGGTGCTGTGGCTGGAATGCTGGTGTAGCTGCACGCTTCTGTAATAGTAACTGTTGCAAAAATTGTTGCTGTTGTAATACCTGATTAGCAGTCTGTGATTGTGTGTATGACTGTGTAGGTTGAACAAGCTGTAACTGTGTAAAAGTTGGTTGATGTAAGGTCTGTGGATATATATGATGCGTCTTCGGATTTTCATTGTTCATTCCGCTACCAATAGTACTGGTCACAGCAATATATTGGCCAGGAATAAGATTAACTTCGGTTGGTGTATTAACGATGCTGCTTTTAGGAGCAACAGTTGGATTTGTAATTGCTTGCAAATCAATTCGCATTTTTTGTGAATCTGTGCAAATGGGTGGCGTCGTAGGGACATCGAACGTATTACCATTGCCTGTGGTGCTCCTTTTTTCCTGCACTCTACTCACGCTGAATCGGGATATTTTTCTTGCACTACGCTGGTCATCTGGAGCTTTTAAAATTGCACTCTGAAGAGTAGAGGGTACCTTTGTCTATGACAAAACACAAATATAACACAAACATGATATTATACTACATATTAAATAGCAGCCTGTAGGAAAGTAACTAACTTTTAATTAATGAATAAATTAAGGTTAATGTAATCGTTCATCTTTGAGGTATGCAACCACTGACTAAAACATATATGTAAATATATACAGATTTAGTACAATTGTATAAGTTAGATATGCAAAAAAAAATGTAAATAAAATTCTACCTCGTCTCCAACATCGACATTTCGCAACGCAGCGAGTTTTTTCTCCAGATCAGCTAAAGAACTTTTTGTAAGACCACAAGGTTGACGATGTCCTGTAGCACACTCTGCGAGTCCAGCCCCGGCACTTACGATTGATGAACTTCCCATTATTACTCCAACTGTTTAACAGAGCTATATGAAATGAATAAGTTTCAACGTGATGTACCTTACCTTCAGAATGGGGATCAATTGGAGTGTGGGCGGACGTGCAGGAAGCCCCACCACTGTTGGTGAGCATTTGAGAATTAGGAACTTGATACAAGGATTCCACTCCTTCTATCACATTCGTTGTTAGATGTTGAAAATCGGAGCCACCACTGATATCTAGAGATGTACGACGGGAGTTATAAACAGAGGATCCACGGGCAGAATTTATGATACCAGCAGGTGTACTCTGTCCAAGAGATTGCGCGGTTGTTGTTGGCGATGGCTTATTGACCTGTATTTAAATTCATTATTCAAAAAAGTATTTAAAAAAAACCGAGTAAGTTATGAAAAAATGCCAAAAAAAGTATATGCAGAAGGACAGACTTCAAAAGAGTTCAAAGGTAAAACTAAAGGGCGCGCAAAGTATGGGTTAAAAACACACTGCCAATAATATTCTGAAAAACCTATAGCTCAAAGATAGTAGCATTTAGCATTTGTTTTGAGGAAGTTTAATTAACTTTAATTACTTATATAATATAATATATTGCAAAGTCTGTGAAGACTAGTAGTTTAAAAATAAGAAAATGTTGCACTAATACATTATTCAGAGCACCAACCTCTTCTTGATGTTGCAGCTGCTGGGAGAACGTTGAAGTCGATGGTTGCGGTTGTATTTGATTTTGATCTGTAGTGTTATGAAGTGAAGCTACAACGGAATTGGCAAAAGCATGAGCATGTGTAATATTCTCTAGCTCGATCTTCAACTGCTCCAAAGTATTACTGGTTACATTATTTACGGTAGTAGCTGACAATGTTGGCATAGCACTAGATACAACATTATTGGAAGATACCATAGGCATTGGTGCCGAAGTTATCAATACTGTGGTAGTGAAGTTTTCAGATACGACTGCCTTATCGCATGAATCTGGAATATAAATTTCACCTTCTTTTTGTATTTTTTTTAAAGTTTCAGTAGCCCTTGCTTTCACTTCACTAGTAATCTCTCTCATTTCCGTAAATACAGGTGTAACAGGTATTTGATCAAATTGTGTATTTGTAGTAACTTCTAAAGTACCGTCTCCACCTGATGAAATGACAGGGTTTACTAGAAATCGCGATATTTTACGCCCTGACAGTGCAGAAAATGACATTACATCTGCAGTACGGCTGAGTGCTTTTCCTTGTTCTTCGATATTATCTTGACATTGATCTATGTCTTCGGATTTATGGAATGATTCTAATTCTTCGTCGGTATGAATGAGAATCTCGGATTTTTCTAACTGAAAAACATTCAGTGAATTAGCCCGTGCCTCTGTATTCATGACACCAGTCGAAGATTGGAGAGGAGGTGCAATAATTTTACTACATATTTCATCTTCGTTATTAGCATAATTTGGATTTTCCATTGTAAAAGCCGAAGCAGAGGACGTAATAGTATTATCAGGGGTGTAATCAGAAGATAATGACGTGTATTCAGATGCAGTACTTGTTTTTCGGGAAGCAGATCCAGATCCAACCACATTATCGCTGCTATTGTTAGGGGGATCTGACGTTGTAGTTGTAGTAGAGGAGGATATAGATGCTGTAGCAGCCGTAATTGAAGTAGTAAAATTTTGATTAACCGTTACTCCTGCAGCATGGGAGGTATCGCGGAAGAGTGTTTGTTCATTAGTGATTTCGCTCGATGCCGAACTTAAAGGAGGCGAGGCCTGTGCTGATATCATCGAGTTATTTTGTGCAATTGGTAGAGAGCCTACGCTTGAGGAAATTGGTTCAGCAGACAGTACAGTAGCCTCAAACATTTTGGACAAATCACTTGAAGTCTCATCACGCTAAAATTATTTGTAAAAAATTACATAGTTACTCAAAATTAAAAATATTTGAAATATATGTGCTTTGATAAATAATATTATTCATGATATATATGATAAATAAAATATTTTATAGAAGAAGGTTAACCGGTATATCCAATTTCTGTTGTAATCTCGTATCTATATTTTCAAATCGAGATCTTTTGTGAAAACCTCTTTTGTTGAGTAAAAGTAAAAAGAAAAAAATTAATACATATAAATAACAACAGAAAATATTTATTTAGTACGTACTATTTCTTTAAAAAAAAATATGTGAAAATGAAAGTTTTGTATTCGTATACCAAATAGCATTTTAAATTTGGCTAACGTGAAGAAGTTCAGCCACTTAATGTTTCTCTGAAGATTGAGCTTCTCTTTGTTATAATATCTTTAAAGCATGTGAGTTAAGTTGAATTCAAGCTAACAAATGTATTCAAATAACACTTCATAATACAGACCACAAATTAATTTTTAGCTTTAGCACGACAATAACATGAAATTGAATATTAATTTTGGACTGAAGGACAAGACGGAGTAGAGAAAGATCTATCAGAATAAGGAGCTAAGTTTATTTAGCCATATCTATGCAAACTAGCCCCTCAGTTTTTGAGATATTTCAAATTTGGTAAGCAGATGATAGCCCAGAGCCCTTAATGGGTATGATTCGCATTCTAACCCACTCCAGCTAAAAATCTATCTCATAAATGTATGAAAAAATAAATTAATGTTTTTTCTGTTATAATGAATAGTGGAAGACAGTATGTATCCCGCAGCCAAAGTGAATTAAAGCGATTTCTTATTGGTATAACTATGCCACCATGGACTTTGCCATCTGGGTGATTAGGACATATTAATCATTATTTTATTAATTTTTTTTAAATAATAACTAAATACTATACGAAAAAAATTAGTCATTTGATTAGCTTTTTAAATCTATAATATTTATATTGGTTTTACTTTTTTTGTAGTCAATAGTTTTTCCTGATATTCAAGCACGAATTCTGTTAGTTTAAAGCCAGAGTGCTGAATCCCTTTTCCGAGATTTTTTAGCTCTGAACAAAATTCAATCGAGCATCGAACCAAAAGCCAATTACACCTTTTCGTTGTCATATTTTTTCTCCTATACTCAAGCTTCCTCTCTTTTACCCGTGACCTCAGGCTTCCCACGGGTTGGTTGCCACATCTTTCACAAGGGTAGCACATGTTTCCAGAAAGTGCGACGTCGACGCCGGTGTAGGAATAGAATATAGCCTCGCAACTGTAACGGCATACCAGAAACTACGCCGTATTACACCCCTATATACAAAATAAGCGACATTTTTAGGGGTACACTTTAAAATCCTTATATAAAAATTAAGAATGTAAATTACGTGCGGTGCTCAAGCGGAAATCTGTTTTGGATGGAACGATTGTCATGGGGCTTCAATTCTCGAAATAAGTCCCAGCATAGTGATTTTTAAATACGTCCTCTTCCGATGAAAATGGATACTCCGATATTCCTAAGATTGGCCAAATTTTGTCTGCGAAGGATTCTAATAAAACAACTGATTTTTTTTTTTCTAGTATTCTGTGCTTCTTTTTCATTTACATTCTTCTTTCTTGCAAAATTAATAAAAAAAAAGCAGTAACCTTCTCTCCCACTTTTTTTTACACGACAATGTTGTCAAACCCCCAAATAAATTGTTTGTTTAGATTTTTGTGACCAGATAAATGGCAGATCTCAAATTAAATACATTTTTGGAAGTCTAGTTAAAAATAGTATCAAATTGATACTTTAGAAAAATAAGTATATTTGAGACTAGATACTTCTTACTGCTCCTCGGCATAATACTGATAAATCAGTTCTGTAACACACAATACCAATACAAATTCTGTTTCAAAAATTAAACCGATATACATTTCAAAATGCTGAATGTGTAGCCCCTTAAGCAGAACTTCGTGCAAGTTTTTGTTTAACTCTGATTGAATTAGTTCTGTAAGATACTTTATTAAAAATATCTTAAATATTATTTATTTTGTGGTAAATATCGAAATAAGTAAACGTCAAAATCCCTACATATATGTCTAAAAGAACAAGTACCCTGCAAGCACTGCGACTACTCCTGAAATATGATATATACTTCAAGCGCACAAGAGAATAATTCAAAATTAACCACAATCCACACAGAAAATATGGGCATTCGAGTAATCTCTGCATTACATACATGAAACTAATTTTGAAACTAATCCAAAAACCGCTCTATGGAGTACTTACAGTGGATTATATTATATTATGTAGCATAGTCGAAAAATAACATTTATCATAGTTTCGAATACAAATCGCTTTGCAGCAAACGTACATCCTAACATAATATTTATCATATAAACTTAAACTAATATAAAAGTAAATATATAGTTATGTATTTGACGCTTTATAACTGCTGAAGCGTTTTTTGGTCGAACTCCCCCTGCAATTTTTGTTTTTAGCTTCTTGATGTTTTTCCAACAAATAGAAGGATCTACTAAGCCGCTTCCAAACGGCTGATGTTTTTTTTATTAGAAGCCTTTATTTCATGTCAGAAATACACTCGGGGGGGGGGTTGACATTTCCTGCTGGCGACCGCAATTAGAATTTTTTAAACATTTGTATTTATTTATTGAAACTGCTTCAATATCAGAAGCCTCACAATAAGTTCAGAAATGCTAAAAGCTAAATTACAATATAATAGCCCATGGCTAGGTATGGGCTGCTGGCTCTTTACAAGGCGAGTTTGACTCGATGCTGAGGCCAAGGGGATAACTAAGGGGTTCGCATGACTGTGCAACGATTTCAGTCTGTTCTTTGACTGTGCGTATATTTAGGTCGCTATCGATATTTTCATTACGCATGTACCATTGTACGCATATTATTATTTTCAATGTTTCCGACATAAATGTTTGTATTACATCTAGATTTGTCGGGCAAGCTGTATCCCATAACTGGATTCTATCCAGCGTTATCGGTTTTATAGTCGCATTATAAAGAAGGCTTTGTTTTCAAGGCTGAGCCCAGATTTATCGCTTAAAAGCCAATAAAAGCTGGATAATTTAAGCTTCAGTTGCATTTTTTTGACAGAAACGTGTCGTCTAAAAGTTAATCATCTATCCAAGCGAATACCAAGGTATGTGATTTTGTTAGCTTGTGGGATACACATTGTTGAGCTAAACGATAGGGCAAATTACTAACTTTGATGCCTGATTTTGCCAGCCATTCTTCAATTGGATTAAGGTGCTGCTATAACACTCTAGCGGCTCGATTGGGGCATTTGTGTCGATTTAGTATAGCAGTATCACCCGCAAAAGTTGATGTCATTACTTTGCCACTTGTAGGAGTATCTGCGGTAAATAAAATATACAATACTGGTCCAGGAACACCTGCCGTGACTGGATACTCTTCTGTTATGTAGTCCTTTACTTTTACAGTGAAACACCTGTTGGTTAAATAGGATTCAAGGATATTGTGGAACGAGTTGAGTAATGCTTTTTTATCTTACAAATGAGGACATCATGTCACACTTTATCAAACTCGCGAAAACCAAATTGATGTGTAGGAATACTATCATTTTGATGATAAAAGGAGTAATTTTTGATAGCAGCACTTTTTCGAAAAGTTTGGATAGGCAAGGCAACAGGCTGATTGGTATATATGAAGAAGTCAGGTTTGCGTCTTTACCTGTTTAGGCTATCATATTTATCTGCTACTTATTCCTTATTTGTGGATAATATCCTAGGTTTAATATGGCACTGAAAAGCTTTGAAGGCGTGTAATGGGGTAAGTAAAACGGGGTGTAGTCAAGCTTCTGGGTATTATGTTATAGTTGCGAGGCTATACTAAATTCCTACTCTTGCGTCCACGTCGCACACCCTTCAAACGTGAGCAACTCTTGTGCAAGATGCGGTAGCCAACCCGTGTGGAGCCTCGGTATGGGTCTGCTGAAGCCGAATTGCAGCGTCTGTTCACCGTAGGTGCGGCTGCCAACGGGCGTTGGTCTTGAAGCATATATAAAAAACTTTAAACATACTCGCCTAGCGAGATTGTGCGCCGGGTTTGGGACCCGCCACGTAGAAACCAGCTCAAGTGAAAAATTTGGCAACGCCTCGGATAAATACCTCATTTCTGTTGACGACGCCCGCAAACGAATTACGATTTGGGGGCATGCACATGGAATGTCCGGTCACTTAATTAAGAAGGTGTCGCTGCCCAGCTGGTTGATGTCCTCGTGCGAATAAAGGCTGACATCAACTCCGTCCAAGAAGTACGCTGGACGGGACAAAGACGAAAGCGAATAAGTTCCTGTGATATATTTGGCCAAACACGCCTTTTATGAGCACCTAGATCCTACTTACGAGCGCTGCCACCGACACGACGTGAAAATCGTGCTTCGCGATTTTAATGCTAGGAAGGTCAAAGAAGGTATCTTTGGTACGGCTGTTGGACGATTCAGCCTTCACAACGAAACCCCTAATGGGTTGCGACTAATCGAATTCGCCGGGCCCGAAATATGGTTGTCTGTAGTACTAGATTCCAGCACAAAAAAATACATCAAGCTACTTGACTGTCCCCTGATCGAAAAATACAAAACCAGATTGAACATATTGTGATAGACGGAAGACATGACTACATTGTTCTTAACGTGCGTACACCCCGAGGACCCAACATCGACTCGGACCATTATCTTGATGCAGTGCACATACGCATGCGCCTCTGCGTATCGAAGAACGCACGTCAACAAACACAAGGAAAGTTCGACGTTGAAAAGCTGCAATCACTACAAATTGCCGAACGATTTTCACTCGACTTGCTCTGTGAGAGCACTCACTAGCAACTCGGTATACGGGATATGTGGGACGGCGTTTCAAGACCCGTACCTACAGCAGCATCCGAAACTATTGGATTTCGAAAAGGTCGCAAACACAGCTAGAACGATAAGGACTGCCGTGCCGCAGTAGAGAGAAAATAGACT